GGGGAGCTTTGACATCACCTCGGCAATCACTTTTTGAGTCATGTCTTCCAAGGGATTTCCTATCTGGAAAGTGGTCGGCTTTGCTGAAAGCTTGGCAGCCGCCTTGGCCCACGGGTCGTTCTGCTGAATGATGTCTCCTTCAGCCTGTTTGGACACAAAGGATTCCGTGGCCATGGATGCCACCACCTTAGGGCCATTGCGGTCAGGAGCAGCCGGTTCTTCTTCTTTGGCAATCAAAACATCACCATGTGCCATCCTGATCATCTTGTGTGGGGGTTCTTGAACCGATTGAACTCGGTACATCAGCCCTTGAACATGAGACTTGGCAGCCAGAGCCTGCACTGGCTTTGCAACCCATCCATGTGCATTCAAGACCTGGGCAACGGAGGACTGCAGAGTTCCATACACAAAAGGACCCACCAAGTACGTCTGTCGCTTGCCAGGAGGAAGGAACGTGTGACCAGGGCGAAGCACGGCAAAGACATCAGCAGCATGAATGGTCTTGCATCGAAGGCCCATCTTGTGACCCATGCGGGCAATTCCCACCACATTTGCCACAGTCTGCCTCAGCAGCATCAGCTCAGCATGATCCATCTTGGGCATCCATACCACCTGAAAGTCAGATGATGGGCGTCGTCCATCCAGCGACTTGGGTTCAAGGTAAACCCCGTGGTGACCTGAGAACTGCTGTACGACTAACTGGAGATGTTCAGGCAGGCGCATGTGGGCTGTGAAAACATCGGCCTGTTCGGGATGTGCATGGCTGAAGTCCAAACGGAGCCACTGCTTACCCCATAATTCCAAAACTGGGTTATCCATTGGGAAGTCCAAGGTACGATGCCAGCATTCACATCCACAGCAGTCATCATCGGCACACTGCGACAATGGAGGGACTACGGAAAACAGGTGCAGCATGGGATGCGACACTACGTCAGGCCACGGAACACAAGTCTGATCACGGAAGATCATGACCTTCACCACGCAGGTGGGGACTGCTTTGACTTCAAGTCCAGGCTGCATTGGGGCTCTCTTGACTTCAACCGCACCCAGCTGAATGAGATGTCCATCAATCAACAACGGCTCTGAATTTGCAGCACAAACCAGCGGGACACGTTCAGTGGTGACCGGACATGCAGTGACAGGAGCTTCAGGGGCATCAACCACGAACAAAGCCAAAGGACCAGGAGACAGCGGACCAGCCTTGAGGTAAGGTTCAATGACCTGAGCCGAAACCACTGCAACACCTGAAGCTGAGGAGCCAACCTGGGCAAGTCCAATTTGAGTCATCGGGACACCCTCACTGCTCTGGAAAATCCCCGCCTCAAGGCGAAGCAGCGTGGGGTCAAGGCTCACCGCTGGCTTGGGGTTGCCCTTGCCCTTACCCTTCTGAGCTTTGGCATGCTTGTGTTTCTTTTGACCCACGGGTAAATCACTGGCGCGCTTTTCAATCTGAGCTTGAAGTTCAGCGGGCTTGATCAGCATGAATGGCGGGCGGACTTGATTGCCCAACCACTTCAGTTCTCTCCATGGGTTCTTAGAATCCAAAGCAGCACCAACTTCCTGGTCCCCCAAGGCTTTGAGGACAGCAGAGGCACGAGAAGAGGTATCAGAAGCCGCAACACCATGACTCAAAAGAGGCTCGGCCAACCGCTGATGAACAGAAAACCCAAGGCCCGCAAGACAGGGACGGTGGCAGGGGTCAGTCAATTGCTCAACAAATTCCTGTCGCATGCCACCTGAGTAGTGAACCAACCAATCCTGATCAGTGACCAGAAGCCAACCCCACAGCAGATGCCGGACAAAGGAAAGCACCAAAGCACCACAGTGTCCAGAAGGGGAAAATCCAAGACTGTGTTCTTTCCAGGTTCCACGAGCACCCCCTCGAAGCACCTCAATGACCCTAGCCAACTTCTCCATGATCGATGCATATTCCGCAGGGACAGACAAGGTATGCATCTGGGTTCCAACCGTGTCAACCCTCCAGACCAACGGAATCCAATGACCACCAAGCAAGATCGCCGACACAACAGTGGCAATAGGACCCAAGGGAGCAACCAGGTCAGACCATGTGCTGGAGAGTTCACACTGAATAAGTCCTGTCACCAAAAGAGGATCCCAGACATGCACATGTTGGTCCACATCAGTCCCAATGGCCGTCTGCATAAGTCCAAACAGAACTTCATCGTCACCCCAAACCGGTCCCTGTAACGTCAAAAGTCCAAGACGTTCGGCTCTGGAAAAGGAAGGGACACGGATGTCTCGAAGCTCAGGCAAGTCTGTAACTAAGCCGAGGTCAGGTGCATTGGAGTTCTGTACATACCGGATGAAATCATCAGCAGACAGACAGCACGGAATGACCGGAGTGGCAGACAACTGGGCTGGATTCCAATCCTTCGGAACAATGGACACAAGGCTTGCAGGCTTCAATGGCTGAGCTGCATCAAATTCCTCACCATCAACCCGCAACAAAGAACCAGCAACAGAAGAACCAAGTTTCTGCTCAGCATCCAACAATTGAAGACCCGTGACATTGGGGGACAGTTTCACCTTGACATCGGGCTGATCTGTACACGGCCATGAAAGGGTAATCCACGGAGAAGGCACGGATGCATCTTCAATGGGATCATCATCCACCGGGTCCGGAGCTGTCGGAGCAGGCACTGGTGGCCATTTGATACGGCATGCCTGGACAATTTCGGCCATGTAGGCCTTCAAGACCTGAGTTGGATCACATGGAGGCACTTCGAAAGTCAAATCCAAAGTCCTGCGAACATGGGCAAAAATCCAAAGCCCCATGATGGGTGCCACTGCTTGACCTACTCCTGCCATGGCCAAGCGAAGATTGTTCCCCATGGAAGCTTGAGGGTGACCCCCCATCAGCGCCCACATCTCAACCGGGTGAAGGTATCTGGCATGACGCATGCATATGTTCATGTGGGTCTGGCATGTCTGCAAAGGGATCAAGGTGCCTACCAGCCCTTTTTGCTTCAAACGGTCCTCAGAAAGAGCTGCTCTGCATCCACATGCACAGGTGTACATCTGGTTACCTGCACTGTGCAAAAGCGTCGGCAACTGCTCGTCCATCTGAATCCAAGCATTGTCAATCCCCCCTGCAGCAAATTGGTAGTACTTTGAAAGCTCATACAAGTTGAGGGCCAATTGGTCATGCTCTGATTGTGGCCATGGGGTAAGGGCTGGGATGAGGTCCCGGATGACTTTGATTTCCGAACTGGGCAAATCAGGCAACTCACACATTCTGATGACCGGTGCAGTCAAAACAGCTACCCATCGATCCCGTCGGGTACACCAGGCATTTCCTAGCTTGAGGATTGCCTGAACCATCCTGTATCCAGTGTTGACTGTGAACTGACGGAGGAGTTCCTGTGCCTGTGCATTTCGAAGAACCTCAGGAGTGCACTCAAGGAGGACAACGGCTGCTTGCAGGATCCAGGCTATGTTCAAGGTCTTGGGAAGTGAATCAGCCCGTGGATCATCCATCCCTCTCCTGTCACCCAACACCGAGTGAGGTTGGCAAGACACGCCCGAGCAAAGAACACAGTGAAAGTGCCCCAGACTAAGCAGTTGACGAACAACATTGGGATCCACCAGGTCACCAACGAAAAACTGCGCACCCTCATGGAAGGACTGGAACAACTTACGCCAAAGTCCATTCTGGTCGACCCCCGCCTGAACAGCAAATCCAACTCTGGACGACGTACAGGAAAAACCCCCTAGGCCCACACACAAGTCAATCACCTGATCCAATGAACCTTTGTCACAAACCGGAACAGGGACCACCACAGACTCTCGGGAGACAGCAAATTGCATCGGGGAGGTAGATGTCACCAGTAAATCGACCCCAACAATTGTGCCCCCATATGGAATTTCACCATCCAGCCAAACTTTAAGGCCCCTTCGGTCTTGGGTCTGCATCAAATGTTTGGCTCCTTGGGAATCCCTACAGATGACCGACAACACTACCGTAGTACTTTGACCAGGTCTAAGTGTCTCCCAATCCATGGTACCTACCACCGCCCCAGGGGTTCAGCCGACACCGCTCCACTACTGGTAAGACCCTGGGCCAGAGCTCTGAAAAATATTAGTCAATGGGAAGGATTATCCCATATATTATGGAAAAATAAAAGCCATGTTCCAAACCACCAACCAGTATGGTATTCATGGGGTTTATAAACCACCTTATGATCATGTCGTTATGATTCAGGCACGACAATCGGGACTTGACCGAAAAACCGCTGGCAGGGATTTAAAAAAAAATTGGGGGACTTATCCAGCATATTCCGGCATGTAGATGAAATACACTGGGAAGCCTACCGCAAAAAAAAATCCTGAATCTCTAGTGGGATATGATACACCTTCATTGGTGGGAACTCCGCCAGCCCAAAACTATGTCGTGGGTAAAATCCCCACCATATCCTCATTTGTTCGGGGTTCAAATACCTATTACAACAATATGTTCAATTTTGAAGTTCAATCTACCCGTGGGAGTTGGGCTGGAAGGAAGCAGCAAAAATAAGATGTTCAATTTTCAACCAGAAGAGTCGAATAAGGTATCCAATATGACCCATGAATACTTACTGAGTTGAATGGTATCAATGAATTCATGGTAAAATTTGAATACCCTCAGGTAATTTGACATAGCTATGGAAAATCACCATGTGTAAAGGAAAATCATCGAACTAATTGTGCAATTACCAGATGGTACTGTAGTTCCCATTTGTTGTTACCGTTTTTGTTGGTCAAAGCCCGGGAAAAAAAACTAAAACCCCATAGACTAGAATTGCACTAAATCTCACAAAATCACAATCTTTTAATCACCATGAGATCCGCTTCAAATCCCCTGAAAATTCCTTCAAAAGGCCATCAAAACAACATTAAATCCCATTAAAATGATCCTAAAACCCCATGAAATCCATGCTACATGCCCCATGGATCCCTCGCAATTTTCAGTACCTCAGCTCCACAAAACCCCACGGCCCGGCCTCACGCTGTTCGAAGGATTTTTCGAACTTTCCACCAGCTCCTGGTTGGGAAAACCCCCAAGATCTACATGAAATTCGATAGGGAATGTATGAAAATCTATGGGAAATGTCTGCAAATGTCAGGCGAAGAATGGGGATATATATATATTATGATTATTATTATTATTATTTTATATTTTTAAATATATAATTAGATAATGGGATTAACAATAATTATAGCTGTAGTACCGCACACCGCGGTGTGGCGGAAGTTTCAAAGATAGGAAACTATAGGAGAGGGAAGTTGCTGTGATGAATGGATGGCAGGGCAAACCCATTGATGGATCGAAATGTTGTTGAGGCTCTGAGTCTCTCTCTCTCTCTCTCTAACTCTGTCACCTTCTCTCTGTATCTCTCTATCTCTCCCTCTGTCTATCTATTTGTCGATCTATCTATTTGTAGTGTAGATGTAGTTGTAGTTGTATTTATAGTGTAGTGTCGTGTAGTGTAGTGTAGTTCAAGTTCGGAGTAGTGTAGTGTAGTTGTAGGTGTAGGTGTAGTTGTAGGTGTGGCGTAGTGTGGTGTAGTGTAGTGTCATGTAGTTGTAGTGTAACTGTAGTGTAGTTGTAGTGTTGTAGTTGTAGTGTTGTAGCTGTAGTGTTGTAGTTGTAGTTGTAGTTCTTGTGGTTATGGTTGTGGTTGTGGTTGTGGTTGTGGTTGTGGTTGTAGTTGTAGTTGTAGTAGTAGTAGTAGTTGTTGTTGTTGTTGTTGTTACAGTCATAGTTGTGTGGTGTAGTTGTGTGGTGTATTTGTGTGGTGTAGTTGTAATTGTAGTTGCAGTTGTAGCTGTAGTTGCAGGTGTAGTGTAGAGTAACCCTGTTGTAGTTGTTCGATAACCAACAAATACCAACAATGTTTGATGGCTACCTCCTGGTAATCAAATATGCCAGTGCAAAAATCTCCCACAAATGGAGGTTCATAGCTGTGGAAATTATCTACAACTGGAGGGTTTTCCAGCAAGCTATGCTTGATTACCGAAGGGTGCGAGAACAAGCCCAATCAATTTCCTGCCTCGTGAATTCAAGGCTGACGTCGACTAAAATTTTGAGTATTTCAATTCATCACTACTAAACTATGACCTCCCAGTTTTGATATCACTATACTATTCACTAATGATTCGAAAATTTCTACACTACCCGTCCAAAAATGATGATAACCTTGGTTTGAAAAGCTCGGTTTTCACCGGCCTTCACCTTGGTGAGGCTATTGTGCAGCACAGCCCTGTGCAGCGGCCCGCCGCGACAGGACGATTCATTCCACACGAAGTCCAGGTCCTTCCGCTGTTTCGGGGTCCGGTGTCCCAACGGGGGCCATTTTTTTGGGGTCCAGGTGCCGTTAAAGGGACGGGAAATCCGTGGAAATTGTGGAAAATCATCATCTTTTTGCTGGAAGAATCTGGAAAATCACGATTTTTTGATGGGAATTTGACCATTTTGATGCATTTTGAATGGGATTTGTTCAGGATTTTTGCTGGGAAGCTCAACAAGTTTTCATGAGAAAATCATAAGTCAGAGTTGGAACATCATCCATATTTTGAGAGGAAATCACAATGTTTCGAGCACGCAAGAACTCCATTTGACAATGCTCACTACAATGTGCCATTTGGACAGCCATGGTCGAAAGTTTCCAGGCCAGGCTGCAATGCCAATGCTACCAAGCCAGTCACACATGTCTGCTTACTACCAGGGCTCCGCAAAAAATGTTCATAACTTCACAGCTATATGGTTATGGGTCAAAACCCTGGTACCTAGGTACCCTAGAATTGCTGGTTGATGTTTATTCCCCCCAAAATATGGTAAATCGGTAAATTCATAGGTTCTGACCCGTCCCCTTATGTTAACTGTTAAGATATGTTAAGTAGCACATAAGATCTACTTCGAAGTCGAAGGGTTCAAGCCCCAGAGATTCTAAAAGATTCCGGAGGTTGAATCTTACGGACCCCCACTCGACAACCCACCGAGGAGCCATGAAAAATAGTGGTTGGTTCAAAGGTGTCAAACAAATCGGCTTTTGAACTTTAGATACAGTAATTATCCTGGTTTAAAACCAGGTAGTTAATAACCTACTGTAATTATTATTAACCTTAATCATTAATCAACCATCATTTGTCTTTTGTCCATTGATATCATGGTCAAACCCCCCACGATCCAATTGTCCAATTGATGGTTAAATCATGTGAAATCCCATAATTCATGGAGAATCCACTCATATCTTAGTAGTGTAGTAAATCCAACATCTTAAACCATCCCATTAACCATCCAAAATAGGAGTACTCTGTACCCAATGTCGTAAACCTCAAATTTGGGGATGGATTCTGGCATTTCGTTTACCTCAGTACTAGTTGATTATCAATCAATTATGGGATCCAACCTTAAAACTGTATAGCCAATAATAAATCACTATCAACCTCAAACTTGGGGATGGTCTTTCATTGGGTTTACCTCACTATAACTCACTGGACAGCAGGGCTCTTCTAGTTGTGGATCATCCACCTTGTCGCTCTGCTGGGCAGCGTGGTACGACATGCAGGGCACCTGCGCGTTCGAAACCCAAGACGCAGTCCTGGAAAGCCAAAGAAGATATTTTAAAAAAATGATACAGTATCCCAGAAATTGTTGCTTTCCAGGACTGCGACAATCAGATATCCTTCAAAACAATTGTTGCTTTTAACCCATCCCAAAAATCTGCTCGTCATTTCAGCCAATCATCCCAGTCGTATGGTTGGAAAAACAATACTCATTTGAAACCACCCACCAGGTAGTAATAGTTGATGGTGTTCGATGATGACTGAGGATGTTTGATGACTTTTCTGTGATTGTTGTGTTTGGGGGAAAATTCTACCGAATTTTAATGCGTGCTGGTGATGTTCAACATTTCAGAGTCCCTTCCGATGATTGTGGATGCCTTTTCATAATGTTCTGTGAATGGTGATTTGAGGATTTTACATGATGAGTGTTCATTGATTGCTGATAAATCTTCCTGAGTTTCGATGTTTTTTGATCTAGGGTCTTTACCCAACACCCACTTGATTGGTGTTTCCAAAGAAATAAATATATCCCTTAGTAATCAAACATTGCAATTGACAATCCACTATAAATGGAGGTCTTAGTGGGAAATTTATCAACTATATAAATGACGGATTTTCCAGCAAGCCATGTTTGATTGCCACAGAGTATGCGTATATAATTATATATATAATCAGATATGGTGACAGGACAATCGGACATTCATTATCCATTGGTGACATCCTCCATTGGATGATTATATGACATGATTATCTGGTTGGTGGTTGACCTACCCCTCTGAAAAATATGAGTTCGTCAGTTGGGATGATTATTCCCAATATATGGAAAAATAAAAAATATTCCAAACCACCAACCAGTTATATCCAGTTATGAGATTAGGACTGTCCAGTCATGAGGATATCACTGATATCAATGAGGGGATATCACCTTTTCGACAACCTGCCTCTAGGTGATGCTCCCCATGAGCCCACGGCTCAAAACTCAAAACGCTGCGGATGTTCGACGCGACGTCTCGCTGGGTGGAAAACGACGCCTGATTTAGCTGGGGAACCTCCGATTTTTGTTGTTGAGTCAAAGCCTCGGTTTGGTTTCTTCAGAAACACAGTGAATGCAGGGTTTGTCTCTGGGCAAATCATCATTTTCCAAAACCTGAAAGAAGGCCTAAAAGTTGGAATGTGGGTGATAAAACCTCAATCCCAACATATCCCAACCATCATTTTATGGTCGGTGAGGTCAACGTCCCACGCCAAAAAAGCTCTGTCTCATGTCATATCCCGTCGTATCTGTCGCATCACCAGAGAATGGTTGGTTTTACACCCCGAAATTGTGGAATAGCATGGAATAGCCATCAAAGAAAACAGCTACCCTCTGGTGAACTAACATAGCAATTGAAAATGGCCATAGAAATAGTGGAATTTCCCATTAAAAATGGTGATTTTCCATTGCTATGTTAGTTCACCAGAGGGTATACATCGATTGCCATCAGGTGACAACACGATATTCTTCTTCTGCGACGTTGTTGAGTTGGTGAGGATCGAAACCCGTGCTGATCCGTTGAGGGGGACCCGTGGAACCCTCCAATCCAACATGGCAAGAATGGTTGCCCCAGCTATGAACCTCCATTCAGGGATATCCCAGCTAGCCATGTTTTATTGCAAAAAGCTACCCAAGATTGGTTTTCATTGGATCAAAATCGATTCTATAACCGTTGGCCACCTCCAACCAGCCTCTCCTGGCACTCTGAAGTCAATGTTGGTTAAGCCATCATGTTCATAGTTTTTTTCTGTGGTGAATTGCCCAAGTGTTGATGCCCAAAAAACCATGTTGAACATGTTGAACCACCATCTTTCACCATTTTTCATGATCTAATCTGGTTCAATCACCAGTTTTCGGTTCTTAAAGTAGGCCCGTAGGGGCCGTCTTCGCGGTTTCGTCGACATGTCGGCTTCACGAAGGGGCTGAAGGGCGGTTCTAGGGAGGCTGGGGACGGCCACGGCTGAGGACCTGAAGGGAGGCTGGAGCTTTCCTGGTGAGGCATACGATAAATATGATATATGATATATATATATATAATTATATAATATATATAATATAATATATAAATATATATATATATATTCATATGTATATATGAATATACATGATATGAATACATATGTATGAATATAATGTGTATGTATGTATATATATATATATACGTCCTTTTGTATGTATGTGAAGGCAGTGTGACCCAAATGTGTATATGAATATATAAGTGCATGGCTACCCTTAGATATTTATAACTTTATAGCCCAAGATGACCAAACCTACCATGCCAAATTTTACCTAGGATCTTGATAAAACCAACAAGATGGGCTATGGGGACAATGCATAGCCGCAGCCATCTTACTGTGGGTATAGCTACATGTCATGTCCAGACATGCGTTACATATATTT